AGCAGAGACGGAGGAAGATTCGGGCTCCCGAGCGGCTACGCAGTTAGTCGCCGCGAAGGACGTATCCGCGCTTTCCCATGACCACTGGGTCGCGAAGGGCGGGAGCGCGAGTCCGTCGTATGGGGCTGGTGCGGGCGGATTTTCGTGGGGGAGGGAATGGGAACCCACCGTTGGAATAAGAAGCCCCGTCGCCCGATCGGACAATCAGCGTCGAGTCCCCGAATGGCAAGGTATCGCTAGGAAACGAACGAGGGGGCCCGGGCCCCGAGCCACGAAATCCAACTCCGAGGCGTTGCACACGATGCACGACCAAGTAAAAAGTCGGCGGGCGCGCGTAACTCGGGACCGATTAGCGTAAAAAGCGTCGGTGGCGGGAGCTAGGACGCCCTCTCCCTCGTACCAAGCGTCGCGACGCCGAGAATAGTCGTCCCCCGCCGCGGCACTCGTTACAGCGTCGCGTAGCCGCGTCTCCAGGGCCAGGGGTCGGCTGCGATTGGCTGGAGGGCCGCAACCGACTATATCGCCGAGGCGCGGATATTACGAGCTCGTGGGGCGCCGCGACGCCTCAGTTGGCGCTTTAACGTTTCTCGCCTCGCTCACGCACTGCGCGCGGCACCCGTTGTTTTTCCTCTCATTTTGTTATCGTACCGCCCGTAAAGCGCGAGCGCACTCGCACTATCGTCGCCAGGCAAGTGCACCCCTGAGTATCGCCGACGGGGAACTGATCGAGCGATCAATCGATCGATTTTGCCTTTTATTTTGCCTAAGAATTTAATCGTAAGAAAGCCAAAGCCGCCAAGATGGTATGTTCTATTGATGATATTGTAAGTCGTCGCCCTGGTAAAGGAGAAATCCAGACTTTCTTTTTTATTTTTTTCTTTCGTTACTTACTCTTGTACCTAATTCGTAACCAAGCATTTTACCGAAAGTCGTTTAATATTTCTTTCTTGCATAATTGTCTGTTTTTAATCATTGTTCTCTCTAACGTGACTTTTATTTTGTAATTTTTTCCTCTCACTTCGCACTAGAGAAACTACTCGTTTTTTTTTTTTAGTTGCTGTTTTTGTTCTTTTTTTTTTTCCCTCTACCTTTTCTTTTTAATTTAACGAGTTTCTCCTGCTCTTTCAGCCGCCTCTCGAATTATTCTTTTTGTTACTTTAACGGCAAACACTCTTTAATCGTATTTTGTACGATGATACTCATTTGTGATAAATAAGCATTGCACCGAGTAATTCTCCATAAATTCAAATAAGTAGTATTTATCTCCTTACGCGTGCGTCAATCTTACATTAATAACAAATTGTATATTTAATATTCTTACTTTTCTTTTTAGCCCACAAAGCAAGTTTAAGTCACTTATACTATTTTTACTATACGTTTTTATCATACGTTTGTGCAATTTTAGTTAATTCACACCTATAATCGGACAATGTTCGTATACGTGATGACTTTATGAAAGCATTGTAAATTGTTGAAACGTTTGTAATGAGATAAAGGATAAAGTATGTTGATCACTGTTTCACTGTATAATTGCTATGATAATGCGCAGCGTATGTACAAAGTTGTTAAGAAGTCAGTACGTTCGATTATTTTATACTATCGCATTCAATAATGAATCGTTCACACGTTTTCAGCTCGTTTCACATCTTTTCCAACAACGGGCATTTTCTAGAAACAATTCGATGCCAGATAAACTAAACTTATAAAATTCGTATTTTTATAAAAATCAACAAACACTCGGGTGTTGCCGGGATGTTTGCATTTCATTGGCACGTATTGCGGATTTTGTCTGACCACAACTTGGACTTTACTACTTTACGAAATTTCGAACGCGTCGTTAAACGTTGAAATCAAACGATGAATATAAACAAACGATCGGACGACTTTAACTTTCATTGCCATTCAAAATGATAATGTCCATTTCCAATTTATATCTATTTGTTGCATTCCGTATGTTCATTAAGATAGTGTTTATTGAAAATTTAAAATGACTAGTGCATCTGCACTTTAATGCGCATCTTTAAAGTGCACATCTGCCGCCACAAACGGTTAAATCGATATAAGAAAAAATTTATCTTACTTATTATATCGCAAATAACATCGGTCTCTCAAACTCACTATAATTACATTTCTTTTTGTAACTTCCAAATTATAACAAATGTGTCTAACCATTTGATTGAATTAATGTAATTGTATACATAATAAAGTAATTTTTATAATAAGGTAATTATAATATAAGAATAAGGCTTGTGGAGATGTGTTTTTCTATAAGTGTTACTTCTCATACTCTTTTCACAAATTTTCAAATTTCATATTAAACTTTCTCTAAATGTGCACGCACCATATTGTTTAAAATGCATTTCTATTCTATGTGAAATAATTACCAACGATAATTACTTTGATCAATGCCGTATTAAACAAGATAATTCAATTAATACTTGTACATAATATTATAAACATTTGTGTGCGAATAAAAGGATTTAAATTGTTTTTAATCGTTTCTCCTTGTACTTTATTTCCACAGGCCGACGAACTACCGCCAGAACAGATTGCTGGTGAGTGAAATTACTCATACTCATCAATCAGTAATAAAGATAAATTTATATAATTATAAAATGATTTTTTTTATTTACAAATTTGGTGATTAATGCAGATTGTAAAAAAAAGGAAGAAGATATTTATAAATTTAATATGAAAACGATTGTTAAGAATAAAAGTCCGTAAATAAGATTTTAGAGACATAATTTAGGATCATAAACATCAGCCGTAAATTAGGTTTCCAAACCATTGATTATGGGCTTTCATAAAAAAAAACATTAATACACACATTCATTGAATATTGTATGGTTTTTGGAGTTTTTCGCAATTCTTATCTTAATCTTTTACATTTCATTACCTACTAAAATTCATTGAACAATATTATCAATGTGATATCCATGATTAAACAGTTTACACCTCTTAATTAATATAAATATATAGTTTACTCTGTAAGTTAAATTTTCTAAAATTATTTCATATATTTATTCGGATAAGTGTCTAAGGCCATATTTCTTGTCTTTACCAAAACATTCCGTCGTCACTTACAATAATTTATCATTGCATTCGACTTTTTTTCTCAGTGACATTCGCTTCAACGCGAATATAAAAAAACTTTTTATGTCGTCTCAGAAATCATTGTATAATAAATAAGCTTTTCAGACAAAGTCTATAATAAAAATACGATCTTTACTCGTATTTCGTTCGATAAATTCATTTGTTGTATCAGAATAAAATAGAATCTCTTACTATCTCGTAAGACTCATTTTTTATTTTAGGATATTAAAACGCTTACTGGTGAAAGACTATTCATTCTCTGTGCAAGCATTTGATTAGAAATTGAATTGATATCGTCAGTATCGAGTCATGAACTTTTTTTTTATTATTAATTTATATAGTACGACTACGCAGTTTAAGCATACGTTAGTTGAAAATTCTTGTGTCATGACAATTGTCATGGATTACATATGAAGGATCAGGATTGCACGTAAGAAAAAAGGATATAACAAAGAATTAATTTCCACTCGATTTTGACAGTTGCTCGCCGCGGCCAAGTTTCCCGAGTCTCTCCTATGCGCGGACTCACTTGCTCACTCGCACAGGCATATGCGCGCGCTAACGCGCTAACGCACTCACGCACGCATACATAGCCATATGTTTGAGAAACGGGTCAGCCCTTAGATTTCGTATGCGCCGCGGTATTGTACACGACACTAAATTTAGCAAATCTTCTTTCCACGTCTGCCTCGCACCTCCCTCTATCTCACTCACACTCTCGTCACTCTGGTCGAACCCCCGAAGCCCATTTACGCGTTCCGGAAGAGAGGAGAGCGAGGTAAGCGGCTCTGTACTATCTTTAGTCCTTTAGACAGCCACAACTGTGGACTTTAAAATCAAAGCGATGAAGTTTGTGCCTAGTCTTCATCCAACGTCTATTTGCTTTTTCCATTAGCGTACGAGCAAAAGAGTGAGTGAGTGAGTGAGTGAGTGAGTGAGTGAGTGAGTGAGTGAGTGAGTGAGTGAGTGAGTGAGTGAGTGAGTGAGTGAGTGAGTGAGTGAGTGAGTGAGTGAGTGAGAGAGAGAGAGAGAGAGAAAGAGAGAGAGAGAGAGACGGAGGGAAAGACGGGTGGTCTCCCGCTTTTTCTGCTCGACTTTTATGTTTAGATTCACGTCAAGCCGAACCCGATCTTTCTTCGACGCTCGTCTCGGCAATTTATAGATCGGAAAAGTACACGGGAGGACTTTTCCAAGACACGCCCTCTTCAAAACTATAAAGTTTTTTGGAAAGCTTCTATGGCTACAACTTCCTTACGTGATTATTGCGACACGTTTCCACGCGATCGAGAAACAGTTTTGGCTCGAGCAATATACCACGTCAGATATTGACGTTCTTCATACCACAAACTATACGAGGATAATTTGCCTATCATTAAGACTAACTGCCAATTCAATAAAAATCTCCAATATTTTTTTAAAAACAGCAGCACGTTAGTTATATACGATTGACGCTCTTATTGCGCATTTTTAACATAAAAATTCCGCTGAAATTTAACTTTTATTTCATGATACATTCAGCATATATAAAACCTAAGAGCTTTGTATTTTTAGTAGCAACTGCGTAAAAAATTTACTTTGGGCAATTCAAATCGGTCAAAAATACAAAAAAATCTTTTTCATCGTTATTAGGAAAATTGGGAGAATCTAGAGCAATACTCAAGCAAAATTTCGTGGATAAAACTATCGCCATTGATAAACTCGTCGTGCCTATAAAATTCTATTGCTCCTCGGGCTTTATAATGCGAATTCCATGAATTCTTACTGATTGCGAATTGCGCGATGATGTCGCGAAACGAAGCTCAATCGCGATATTTACGACGACATTATAATTAAGGCAACGGGCCCAAGGATCGTTCTAAATGGCCGTAAACGACGGCTATTCTCGAAAGTCCTCGTTTCATTCGGCTGGATAAGATCGAACGGGCGAGGAGGCGCGAGGCGCGAGGAGCGGCCACCGCAAAAGAAAACAAAGTGTATTAATAACCGAGCCTGCTACACTTAATGCTTGTCTTCGAAAACAAGAAATATAACTGGTTTCGGCCGAAGTTAAGGAGAAAGAGTCGGCGGCCGTCGCCCAGAAAGAGGCCGAGAGTGAGCCAAAACACGAAGGAGCAGCGATCTCGTAGAACTGCCGCCGACGCGCCCACGCAATGGTTTTCTTTCAGTCGATTCGCGGACGATTCCCGTTCTCTCTCTCTCTCTCTCTCTCTCTCTCTCTCTGTGCCTCTTGGCTCTTTATCTCTTCGCTCTTACAACTCCCCCCCTCCCCCCTCCTCCTCATCCTCCTCCCGCGTTCCCGCGTTCCCACTCCCCTCGCTCATCCTCGCCCGACGCATCATCACGGGGGAGTTTATTTACGTTTGATTTAATCGGCGCTTCGCTCGGCTAAGTTTAGAGCGTCGACTACGAGTACAACTGCGCGACCCACCGGATATCAAATGACAAAATGATGCGGCACCACCGGTGGTTTTCCCTGTTCCTACCATCAACTTGCTACGCTCTTCGCCCAGCGCACGGCCTCTCCTTCCTCTGTCTTATCATCATCCTATTGCAAAACGTTCACGTGACGCGATAACCAGGTGAGACGCGGTCGGTCGCGTGTCTCGGCGAATTTATGACGTAAGAGCGGCGGGAAGCGGTGCCAATTATCGCTAAGACTATAACTCGAGGTTGATTGTACGCGAGATTTCGTGCGGATGAAGGAGGATGAGGATTCATGACGATCGGCTTTATGCAGCTTTAAGGGAAGGGACTTTAGCCTGGAATAATTTGCTGAAATTAACTAATTAGAAGTAATTTGCTGAAAGTAAAGCAAAATAAATGGAAAATTAAACTTAGCCATTCTTTGGAATGAGATAAAAATGATGAATGCTAATCGCGGTCACGATTAAACAAACACGGGAAATGTTATGCTTGGAAAACTCGAATATCGCTCGCATTATAACGAAGAAAATAATAATTGCCTCGATTGAACAAAATCGAATATTTTAATGGCTTTAATTAAAATATATACTGTATTTTATGTCATAGCAATACGAAAATACTACTTATTTTCTTCTTTTAATGGTGTGGGCTAGATATGTGTATGTGCACGAGCATTTTTCGTTGCGGAATTCTTCATTCGTTAATTCTAATAGTTTAAACGTGAATATAAGAAATCGATTGAATTATTCTTAATTAGACGGACTTTCTTCATAAGATGATTTCGCATCGATGCTTTATCAATCGATGCACTTTATCTTATTCGGCTTATATGACTATTACATTTTAATTGTCATAAAATTCATTATGCTTGGACAAATATATGTTATATTGGATAAATATATATGTTTTCGATGAACAATACCAAGATACACTAATCATATTTTCTTATGCTTATAAAGAATCAAAGTACGAGTCCACTCGTTCCTTTAAATTTGCACATAATCACAATAATATTCATGAAAAATTTGGTCATTTATAAGAGCTAATTGATTTTACTTCTCATCCTAAACAACAATACGAATTTACATCGCATACTAAGCTTATGTCTCATTCTAATCATAATACGTCATATTCCAAATAATAAATATACTCCATGCAATATGAACTTTTATGAAACTATGTATTCTCCGATAATATTTATAGACGTATGCATGTATATTTACTAGAAAACCTTTTTCTCTTCTTTTCTTTTCTGTATTTTTTTTTGTTTGTTTTTTTGTTTTTGTTTTTTTTTTGTTTTTTTTTTGTTTGACACGAGAGACGCGTGAACCGCCGCACACCTGCTGTTTTCAACAGTGCATGCTAAATTTGTCTAAAAAATTTTACAACGTCACATCATAAATTGGCAGAGCATTGTTAGTAAACCCCGGCATTTCCCCTTCAAATTCTTTACTTATGCCTTTTAAAATAAAACATTAAAAAAAAATAAAATGTTAGTTTATACGCATATATAATGTGCATAAAAGGCGGGAAACAGGCAGAATCCCGTGAATAATCGATTCCCTACGATCACAATGGCATTGCGCGTGTCGCATCGAACACGCGCGCGGGCGCGCGCACGATCCGACAGTCCCAACATTCCCGACCCTCCCGCTAGGCCCTTCATTCACCATCGACACCACTGAGCCGATAACTAATAAGTCCAATTAAGGCGGTGAAGGGGGTAGGGGAAAGGAGAGCGTACCCACTGGGCACCTCGAGCCAAATAAGCTTCGCGCTAGAATCTCAGGGGTGTACGTGCGCACGGATGGAAGGGCATTAACATTGGATCTAAATTCGACATAGCGCACGCACAAACCTGGCGTCACGAGCTTTCATTCTATCCCTCTCCTGTCTCCCCCCTATCACCCTCCTATACCCTACGCCCCTCTTTCTCTCATAATGCTCTCCTGCATCTGCCTCTGGCGCGCAATGTCATATGAATTTCTCCCGCTCTACCCGTTCTCTCTCGCTCGGTGCAAAAAAACATTTATACATTTCCAAACGTTGATATACCATTTTACGCTATTTTCGCGCGATCGAATTGAGGTTCGTATACGTGTATGCTGAGCACGTGTTTAGGCGGCTGCTCGCGAGTGTGGGCGTTTTGGAAAACGGGTATATACGACGAGGAGGAACCCGGGCGTGGAAAGGGGCTCAACTCGCGTACGAGTTGATGTATTTTCGGTAGCGAAGACCGAAGACTCGCTCTTCTTCTTAAACTAGGGACACCTTTTCATTTCGAAACGACTTGTTTAATGATTGGAGAGCGCGCGAAGAGTTATGGATGTTCACGAGCAACGTGTGCTTCGCGGATGGACGCCTTGGCAACGTAATATGCCGCGAGACAGGAACATGATGCGCGTGAAAAGTCACTCGCTCGCTCGTCGGCCAACAAAAGTTTCTCCAACTTCCGTGGACGTTAAAATTGTATTATTTAGGGGCGATCTTAACATTGCTCGTAAATAATATATGGCCTTATATTAAATATTGCCGCTTGCCGACGATGAGCAATATTCTATGGTAAAGTAGTGAAAGTTTCAACGCATCGCTTTCACATGACAATTATTTGCTCTTTTAAATTTATAGCAAAGCTTAATTGATTTGGACATTATTTCGTCAAATAGCCGTATGTTGTGCTCAGTGATTGGTTTGAAGAAATATGAAGCCAATTGTAATGCAATATTTGACAGCTCGGGCGGATTTTAATCTTCTTTAAACTAATTCGTTAAATTTTCTCTGGATTAGGAAAGGGATGATTAAATTACATTATGCTCAATTTTTGCGAAGAAAAGATTTTCGAAACAACCAAAACTATTCGTAATGATAGGCGAGTTGATTGTGAAGAGTATTAAAAGGACCTACGACCTCTTGAATAATAAATGAATAAAAATTAAAAATAAACTGGCAACGTTAATTTTATCGAGAGATAGATAGAGAGAGAGAGAGAGAGAGAGAGAGAGAGAGAGAGAGAGAGAGAGTGATAGAGTGATAAGATTTTTCTTGACACAATCACCAATTTTGTGAGGTATTAAAGTATGGGATCCATGAGGATGAGCGCATAAAACGAAACGATGAATGTTGGCTTTGATATTTCAGTGCTGCGCAAAGCTTTCGACAGCTTCGATAGTGGAAAGAGCGGCAGCATCCCCACGGATATGGTGGCCGACATCCTTCGATTGATGGGTCAGCCGTTCAATAAGAAAATTCTTGACGAGCTCATCGAGGAAGTCGACGCCGACAGTAAGCCGCTTGTTCCCCTCGCTTAACCGACTCCTCTGCAGAGAAAATGCATAAATCGACCGTCTCGTAAATTATCTAAAATCGAATGCGATAAAATTAAGTGAATGTTGAGCGTGCGGTTGTGACTTGAGGAAGTAGTAGTGAGCCAATGTCAATTATCAATTGGCAAACCGTACGTAATAATTAGCGATGGAAATTAATCGCAATTAATCTTTTCGCATTCGTTAGACAAGCAGAGCCGCTTATCAATCCGTATATTTGAATTTAATGTCGATGTGATAATTATTGTGATGCTATCGAACAGAATCTGGCCGTCTTGAGTTCGAGGAATTTGTGACGCTTGCGGCAAAATTCATCGTTGAAGAGGATGCCGAGGCTCTTGAAAAGGAACTTCGCGAGGCATTCCGACTTTATGATAAAGAAGGTAACGTGCAAGTATTTTCGTTACTCGTTACCTTATTCATCAAATATCTTAAATAATATCTTTCCGATAATTCTAAACGGCATTCAACGAGCACACTTCAACGAGCTTAACAATAATTGATTCTTCTATCTCAACATTTCTCACGAACAAGTTTATAAATTGCGCTCCCCACCTCCCATCCTCCATTCTCCCATCATCCAGACACCGTCCCGCTCGTTCTCCTTAAAAAAAAAAAGAAAAAAAAACATCACTTGTTAATCGTTAAAAAAAAGAAAAAAAAATCATTTAAGCTCCAACACATTCAAATAAATACACGTGTTGTTGTCATAGGCAATGGCTACATCCCGACCACGTGCTTGCGCGAAATCCTCAGAGAGCTCGACGATCAGCTCACAGAACAGGAGCTCGACATCATGATCGAGGAGATCGACTCGGACGGATCTGGCACCGTCGACTTTGACGGTAAGTGCAGCGCCAGCCCATCAATTTCCGACATTATCTCGATTAAATTCGAGGAGAGCCCGCGATAATCTTGATTGGCCGGGTGTCGAGCAAAAAGCGCACGCGGCAAATTAATCTTCTTTTCGCGGGGGCGCGTGAATATTCGGGCTGTTTAAGCGCCGATTTTATCGCTAACGCATTCGGGCTAAATATAGGGACGTGGGGACGAGGGGACGTGAGGGTGGCGGGTGGGGGAGGGTGGAGGCAAAGGAGAGGGAGGATGAAAAAAAAAAATAGAGAGAGAGGAACTTGGATGGAATAGCCGATAAAACTCT